GGTGAGTCGTCATTTTCATGCACTTTGAATTTGCGTCGTATCGTATTTTGAAGGCATTAAACATGGCCAGATTGGACGCTCCTTGTGTTTATTGTTATATTTGGAAAACACTCCAGTTTGCATGCAGCTCATACCATATGATTTTGTTGTATTATTTCCGACACACCTTAAATGCCGCTCCCTGAAAATATTGTCTGACATCAACCAAAAAAGGCCGGGGACCCCTGCTGTAAAATGACCGTTGTATTCATGGGAAATTACCATCTGGTTGATGTCAAATAGTTTTATCAAAACAACTAGCATGTTAGATTTGTTTTGCGATGATGTGACACTTTCTTTTTTGTCTCCTAAAACCATTTCTCAATTGATACGTTTGAATTCACGTCCGATTTTTCAAACTCCAAATTGTCAAGGCCTATCTACTGCGAGGAGGGCGCCGAACCTCTCAAGGATCCGAAAAGCCGCATTCGCTTCAGGGTTGTTGGGTTTTTGTTGTTCTTGTTGTTGTCGGGGGCCGGGGAGGTGCTGGGAAAAAGCGGGTGTTTTGCCCTCGGGGTGAGTTGATGCGCGGCTTCGAAAGTTGGGATGCAACTCGTCGTATGGCCTGAAGAGGGCGTCCGAACGCAACGCAACACAAGCCAAGCGGTTGGCTTCTTGCCTCTCCCCCACCGGTGCCAACGCATAGTTCGCATCGAGACGCGCATCAAGTTCCTTCTTGTCTGTCTGGCGCGCTCTTGCCGCCATTCGTCTGTCGCTACTGGCTTGAATTCACAGGAAAAATCACCTTTTTTTTTTCTTCCCGTCGTGCCAACACAGCAAAAAGCTAAACTGGTCTGGCGCCCCCCTCTGTGTTGACCTCAGTTTTCTGGTCATCATCTTTCATGCCACTGTCACTTGCAGGGTCAGGAGTGAATGTGTATGAGTGCGTGCGTGCGTGTGTGTGTGTGTGTGTGTGTGTGTGTGTGTGTGTGTGTGTGTGTGTGTGTGTGTGTGTGTGTGTGTACGTGGGTTGGGTCACGTCACTTTCGTGCCATTTGTCGTGGTGTCTCCATTGCTGTGGAGTCATGCTAAAACACAACACATGCACCAAGGCCGAAAATTGTGTCTGCAAATATGCGGCTCAAATGTGGAAGGCCACCTTACGCGTGCGCTTCCAGAAAAAATGAGGGAGTAGGATAAGCCCGGTGGAGTCAGAGTGCAGCAAGTCGGTCGAAGGGGCGAAAACGATGACGCCGGCACGACCACTCTGCATTTCATGCTTAAAATCACCGAGTTGCTAATCGCCTGTTTTGGACGTCTTGTCTTCTCTTTGGCCAATCGATGGAGGATTTCCGACTCCAGCAAGGCCGTCGCACGTCCGCATGGATCAGAGAGCTCGAGTCAGCTTGACAACTTGTCTTGAGAAATTCATACCAGTGGGACCAAAAAACGAGATTCAGAGAAATAAAGAGAAAAAGAGATATACTGTAGGCAAATATCAGGAACTGTTAATGGAAAAAAATATTTGGACAGAAGAAAAATTCACAGATATGAGCCCCCCCCCCCAAAAAAAAAGTACACATGTACTCAAGACATAACTACGAAAGAATTGGAAACAAAAATATACAAATAGGAGAAAATATTTGAAAATGTCAACCATTTTCAGCGAAAAAAGAATGGCCAAAGAATCGGAACATATTCAGAAAAGTATTAGACAAAAATATGGTGTCACAAATGTTTGACATGAAGACAAATTTGAAAAATACTGCATACAAAAAAAAAAAAATCGAACCGATAAAAACCAGATTTATTTATGACGACAGACGGGCACTTTTCAGTTTTTGTTCCCTCAGTGGAAGCAAGGCAAATCCCGAATGGACTGTTCACACCCAACGAAAAGGTGAGGTGTCCCGATGCTTTTGTCCAGGCGGCTTCCGGAGTAGGCGAGGGGGAGGAAAAAAAAGGGAGTTGAAAAAGCAGCTCGTGCTCAGGTCATGCCGCCGCATGTTTTGAATCATGCTCGTGAAATATCTTTCACTCATCCACGCGTCTTTGATGTGTGTGTGTGTGTGTGTGTGTGTGTGTGTGTGTATATACGTATATATAGTTGTGTATTTGTACAGCATATGCACCGACCGTTTCTACAAGGAAATCATTGAAAGATTAGAGGAGAGCTTTAAGGAGTCACTGTTTACCCTGTCGGGTGACAAAACAAACAAACAAAAAAAGAAATCCCCATGAATGGTCACGCACGGCTCATTGAGGCTCTCCGTACTACACGCCGCGATCCCACCACACACACGACACACACTCAGTCGTTTTTATTCTTGGCGCGCATGCACTGCAATTAGAATGCGCGTGTGCGCGCGCACATCTCGGCGTGTTTTCGCACGGGCCTCGCGCCCCGCCGCAATCACATTTGATGGATATGGACTGCGGCCGGTGAGAGTTTTCCAAGCGGTGAGTCATGGCGCTCGCGACGGCCGCCCGTCCCAATTTACTGCTACCGCCACTACTGCCGCTCCGGTTCCCCCAGCCCACCGCCTCCTCAAGTTGTGTGAGAGACAAAGTCCATGAATAAGTGTCCTGTGCGGCGGATCGTTGTGGTTGTACTTTTCCGAGCTCTCCGTTTGGACTTTTCCACTCTCCAGTCGACGGATAGCGTGTCGAAGGACAAGCGTTGGCACCGAGCTGCCGTCACGCTCGCGGAGACTCGGGCGCCGGAATGTCCTCCAGGAGTCCCGGTGCCGTCGTCGCGTCGCGTCACGTCGCGTCGCGTCACGTCGCGTCGCGTCACGTCGCATCGCGTCGTCTCCCTTTGTGCGAACGGAAAGGCGGCCGATCGCCACCGTGTCGGAGTCTTCGTCATCGCCTTACCGGATGGTTGTTAGGTCGCTTTCCGCGACACAAACGAGGACGCCGCGTTCCGTGAGCCGACCGGATGGCCGATTGACAGCCAAGATGTCGTGATCTCATGCGACAGGGTCCGACTGAAGGAAATAGTCGGCGGGCACGCCGAGCACTCAACGGGATTGCGACAAGCACACCTGGGAAGCTCACCCTCCGGTCCGTGAAGTGGAGCCCGGGGTTCAAAGCGCGCGCGTGCCGCCTCGCAAAGGATGACGGACCCGCAACGAAAAGCCACGCCAGCGCAAGCTCGGAAATTCAGCTGCATAATTTGAACGCCGGTGGAACATGTCAAACCAAACTATTTGGGGATCAAAAAGCATCCAGATCCTCCATTCTGCACCGCCGTATTGCTGAACAGGACAAGTTAAAAAAAAGAGAAAATTTGTGTGTGTGCGTGTGTGTGTGGGGGGGGGGGGGTTCATTCTGTGGTCGGAAAAAGAAGATATGCTCGACATCCGGTTGGTTGTAATTTATCAGGAAAAGAAAAATACAGCGTGACTAATGTGGGAGTGCTTCAAAGCAATCAGAAAGTGCCCCCTGCTCCGAGCCAGGTCCTTCCACCTGGGAAGAATAATTGAGAGATGGTGGAATTACTGCCACAGAGCCTCTTCCCCCCCTCCCCCATGTCTTCTTCCGACCACCCAGCCAGTATCGGGACCCCCTGGTTCGTTCCTGGCTGACAAAGTCCAAAAGATCTTCCCCCGGATGGAAGAAAAAAACAGACCGGCAGCAGCAGCAGCAGCACCGTGTACTATTCCGGGCTGAGGTTTGCTCCCGATTTAGCCGTTCCGCACCGTGCCCGACTTCAATGGCCTTTCTGTCCCCAGCAAATATACGGAATATTCATTGGTGGCTCCTCCACAGTTCCTCACATTCTTCCTCATTATTTTATGTCGCTCCCCTCGGCGATCCCAGAAGGGATTGGGTCTTCCAGAAATAATCCCCCAAACCAATATTGACGCCGGCTAAAGACTGCGGCGGTTACGCGGCTCGCCGTGACCCGCGGGCGAGGCGACGAGCGGCGGAACAAGGGGCCATCAAAGGCGTCGAGGCGAAGAGCCCCTCTGGCGCTCGCCCCATTTTTAGACGGAGCCACGTGAGCGCAAACAGCAAAGGCTCCGAGCTGCTGTGAATGCTGACAGAGCGCCATTCACGGTGCAACGCGTACTCGTACTGTCTTTGCCCTCGCTCGTTCAACGATTCAGCGGAGCGCAGCCGGCCGGGTCTTACTCCGAATCGCATCCGCGTTCCCTGACTTTTTTGCGGGCGGCTCGCAGCGGGTGAGCCGCCCGCAACACTTGGAGAGATGCCGCTACAACCAGCAAACTACGGCGTGCCGGGCGCATTTTCGCCGGGATCTTCTCACAGACAAAAGCCGGCCCGCCGGCGGCGCGCCTCCGCGTAGGACGGACTCGGCCCGACCCGGCCTCCGCGGGCCCCGGCTCCCGTCCTCGCACGGAGGTGACGAAGGGAGGTCCCGCGCCGGCTGGCGTCTGGAGCCGCGGTCCCGCGGCCGACGAGATTCCGGCACGTCTCGCCCGGCGCCTGCCCACCGTTGCGCTTTTCAAGCGGCTTCGGCTCCGTGTCGGCCGTGACCCCGCCTCGGTCGGAGCGCGTCCATCGTGTGTGGCTTTTTGCTGGAGCGGGGCTTCGCTGCGTTTCGA